AAAAAGACAAAAGAGGGGGGGGTGGGGGGAGTGGCAGTTTAAAAGACGCACACAATGCAACAACATTGATAAATTCTCCACATAGACTTACCAGGAGCCCCTAAAAAAAAACACACACACACATTTTAAAAAAGTCTATGGGGCCACAAATGCACAATTCTGCTCCAGTACTAGAATTGTATATATAAAACCACAGGTACAATTGCACACAAAACAAAAGCAGCCTCTAAATAGCCTGGCTACACTCATGCTTAGATGCAACTGGAGTCTAATGAGAAGATAAAAAGACATTCACGCAGGATAAGAATGATTACAATTAACATTTCCAATTGAACAACTTGGACCTCATCCTGACACACTGACAGGTGAAAGGGCACGGAGGCGCATCTCCTAAGGGCTTGCTCATACTAGCCGCACAGTAAACCCTGTGAGAATATATCAAAACTGGAGCCGACAGAATCTGGAGCAGTTGCCCCTAGTAACCAATCAGCTTCTCTCTTTCATTTTCAAACCTTAAAGGGCAATTTCACTTGCCAGGTGAATTTCAGAACATGGAATTACCCACAACAATGTGGTCCCCTCTATCTCTCCCCCTCCCAATACTTAAAACATTCGGCAAATGCCTTTTCGCCTCCACCCGTGCGGCTGTACTATCCACACCCCGTACTGCCATGTAGCGCAGCCCTCCAATTTGTTCGCAAAGATGCACATCTCAGTGGTCAGTGCGGTCAGGTGACTGCGCTGACCGAGTGATCACCATTTTCGAGCGAAACTTAAAAAACACAGAGCGCACAGCTGTGCTACATGGCAGTACGGAGTATGATAGTACACCTGCACCACTGGACGGGAAGGAGTGTTTGCCGAAAGGCAAGTACAGACATTCCTCCGTTACGACGGACCGCCGATCGACCTTGCGCGTCAGTGCGACGCGTCGCCGGCGGAAGTGATGTCCTCCGATCTTCACTGCGGGTCCCAGTAAGTATTTTCATTGCCCGATGTACAGTACACTGTTCAGTACTGTACATCTGCAACGCTATACAGTACTGTACTAATGCAGTACAGTACTGTATAGAGTCCCTCACTTAACGACCTGGTCGTAGGAACGGAACTCGGTCGTTAAGTGAGGAATACCTGTATAGCAAAGGGGAGGGGGGTAATTCCATTTTCCCAAATTCACTTGGGAAAGTGGAATTCCCCTTTAACTGAAGAGAGAAGCTGATTGGTTACTATGGGCAACTGCTCCAGTTTTAATCAATTCCCCCCAGTGTTGTACCATTCAGTTAGTGTCCACTGAGTGGCAGCAGTGAGTCAGGGTGCCTTACTGTTACCGGTTTCTTTTTTTAAACTTTATTTAGAGTGTACAAACTGTACACTGCATTCAGGTCCCAGCACAGCAGCGTGGTGTCATGCAGTGTGAGGAAATACAGCACGTCTTAAGTTTTTTTCCGCAGCACACCACACTGCAGATCACACCAGCATTGCAGTGTGAACGGGGCACATAGGAACCAATTGTGACTGGGGTTGTCGCTGAAGATGTGAACAGGCCGCAAGACTAGAGCGGCTGTGCCTGGCAACCAATCAGCATTCAGCTTTCATTTCCACACCTCAACTGAGCAAGCTGAAGCCAGAAGCTAGGACTGACTGCTATACAGAGCAGCTCCATATTGTGTCTGCTCCAGTCCTCGGCTGCCATAGACAAGCACTGCCCCCCCGCTGACGAATAGTGACGTATCTACACTCCAGTCATGAACGAATCCTCAAATTCATATTCGTTACATAAATCGTATCTGCAACAAACGCCTCTCTCCTCCCGCCTGTGGTGGCGTTCGGTTTCTTTTGTGTCACATTAGCCCCCATCTTTCGCCATTTTGGCTGCAGTGCCTCCTACCTAGCCATACCCCCGGCGCTGTTTCCCGCTATAATGCTCCCCCCCCCTCCCTCAGCACCGGAAATAATATAATGGAGGGGGGAATTGTGCAGCAATCAGCCCGGTGCAGACGGAGCCCGCACTGTCAGACATGACGGCGATGTGAGCAGACGGCGGAGAAGGAGGGGGGAACCCTCCCTATTACCTCGTCCGCCTACTCCGCTTGTCTGCACGGGATAAACAATCTGCTACAAAGGGCCTCAGCTACACCGAGCCCGGACACACCGGCGCCGTGCTCCATGTAAACACGTGCAACTACCGCATACCGTTCTGTGTAAACACCGTAACGTAGGTGATCGGTAACGGTGACAACACAGGGAGACCCCAACTGACAAAGGGCCGTACATTTAAAGGATAGAGCCCCCCGCACACGATCCATTGACAGGGGGCAAGTAAGGTTCTGCAGCACCGCTCACTCCTCCCCTAATTACTTCCAGCAGGGGCACTATAGGAGGATGCGGGACCTCCACCTTCAAAGCCTAGCTGGCAGCCCCATGCACAGGCCCCGAGTTGTGACCCGCCAGGGCATCTCTCACTTACCTCCAACCCTGTACATGTTCGCTGCCATGTCTTCCAGGTAGGGAGGAGGATTGGGGGGGAGATTAGGCCAGCACTCCTCCTCCCTCGGTGACTTTTCCGAGTCCGGGACCCCTTCTTTGTTCCCGTCTTCCTCCGCTCGCCCCCCTGATCGCCCGTGTGTTTCAGGTGGGATTCCAGTCTCCTTTTTGGAAAATGGTGGCTCGTTCAGCCGAGGAGGAGGAGGAGGGGAAAAGGATGCATTTAAAGGGGCAGTGCCTTGCCTCCTGGTGGCAATGTGCTTGAAGGGAAAAAAAAGAGCGAAGAAACAGCAACAGTCCTGAGCAAGGGGAGGGGAAGAGGCCAGGGAGGAAGCAGTCATTCACTACAATTCTTTTATTCCCCCTCCCCTGCCCACAAGACTTTTCTAGTTTTAAAGTCCAAGGATTGACTAGGTGCCATGGATTGTAGTGGCCCATCGATGGAGAAAATGAATCATTTCATCGGCTTATTTCTCTTCGATGGCAGAGGGACTAGAGAAAATTTTTACTGGCCGTCCAATCTATGACCGCCATGTTAAAGCCTATCTCCGAATAAAAATAAATAATAAATTCCCCTTCCCGCACTTCAAGGGATAATCTTGGGCAGGGGTGGGCAATTCCGACTACAGCTGTGCTTTAACTACAAAACCCATCATGCATCTGTCTCTGGGAGTCATGCCTGTTGCCACCCGTCTGGGATTCACCGGACAGTCCAGGTTTTGAGTCCTCTATGTGCTGTGACAGGGTTACAGGCCAGCTGAAAGATGTTAGGCGTACGGGCAACCACGGCACCAACTCCTGCATGGGGGAGGCACATGACACGGAGGGATGCTGGAACTCGGGGAGCAAGGAGGTGTCTGAAATGCAGGGTGCAGATAAGTCTTAAAGTGCACACTCTCTTGGCTGTCTCCTCCCTCTCTCCCCTCCCTCTCCTGGCTGTCGTTCCTCGTTCTATTGACAGCCGGGAGAGAGGGCAGAGAGCGAGGAGAGGCGGACAGGAGAGCGAAGAGAGGCTGCCAGGAGTGAGGAAAGACAGCCAGGAGAGCGAGGAGAGACAGCCAGGAGAGCTACGAAAGACAGCGAGGAGAGACAGCCAGGAGAGCGAGGAGAAACAGCCAGGAGAGCGAGGAGAGACAGCCAGGAGAGCAAAGGGAGACAGCCAGGAGAGACTGTTTATCCACTTCCTGGTCCTCTTGGTCATTAGTGATGTAATGTGCCCAAGTGTTGCATCCTGGGAAGGTCACATCAGAAGAGCATTGCTGGGAAATCTCATGTGTTCATAGAGTTCCAGGAAATAAAGGGAGATATATTAATCTGCCCTGTGACCACTGTGAGAAGAATGGGCAGGAAAAGAGAAAACAAGGTATGCAAAGATTACAAAGCCGGCAATTATCTAGAAGTATGTGTTTGTACATTGTCGTTACTAAACATTTCTAAAGCTGCCTTTGTTGTCATTTCAAATATACGGGTAAAGTTTCTCTTTAAAGAAGCAGAAAGCCATTTCTTGTAAGTGTGAGCCTCCTAAACAGAAAATGAAAAAGAAAAACTGAAGGTTTAATATCACTTTCAGTTTTCAGTGCTGTGATACATTGACAGTTACTCCATCACGCAACTATGCACACAAATTAAATATATACAGTGTGTGTGTATATGTATATATATATATAAGATGTCAAAAAAGACAAAAACGCAGTATTGCAGTGTGCAATGATACCTTTCTTATTGGACTAACAAAATATATAAAAGACAAGCTTTCGAGAGTGAACCTCTCTTCTTCAGGTCAGAAGCAATAATATTGTATTCTGACCAAAAAAAACAATACTACGTTTTGTTTTTTTTGACGTCTTGTCTACTGGACTAATACGGCTTACCCATTTATATTGTATATATATATATATATATGTGTGTGTGTGTGTGTATATATATATATAATTTTTTGCATAGAGCTTTCTTTTTTGGGGGTATTTTAATAAATATTTATTCACGGTTTTTCAATACAGAAAAAAGGTAAACATCCCAACATGGATATCCTTTAACAGGTGCATTCCGAGTCATGTAGGCATGTCAATCCCATCATAGTGAACAGAATAACATTCAGGAGAGGTTAGACAGCAAAACAATATTTGCAAAAACAGGGATTTGCCGAGGAATTTGACCTAGATAGGGTACAGTTTTTCTTTGTGACTCAAACAATGTTCTGGGTCTGGAGTAGAACAAATGGGTCCCATGTCGAGGTTTGTCCTCTGGGGGTGGGCAAAGTGGGGATATGGGGTAGGAGGGAATGCATCACACAGCATATGTGGTAGCTACATTGATTGAGTGGTCAGGTCTAGTCACATGTGAGAGGTTGCTATGGTATGCAGCTTATAGATCCTGAAAATGATCAGAATCAGTATATAGAATCCAAGGTGCTCATAGCTCATTGAAGTGTGAGGGTCAGTCATGAATATGTGCTGCTTTCTGCACTAGGTGCATTATGGAGCTGAGTTCTTGCTCCCACTTATAGGTGGTTGGGGCAGTTGGTGAGTTCCAATGTCTAGGAATGAGGGTGTGAGCTGCGACTAAGAAAAATGGAATTGGAATGGGAAAGAGGGTCTGGAACAAAGGAGAGATTTGGGCATAGACGATCCTGTGACCTGTCGATATATATCAAATTCTTGGATGCAGAAAGGTTGATAGAACGCTCCACCAGATGTGATGCATGGAACCAATGTTATTGGCACATCGCCAGCATTTAGGAATTTTTTATGTAGTGAGCTTGAGCATCTGTATCGTCAAGTCAGACCCTCATATCCCTTCTCCTGAGCTGAGGAAGTATTAGGTATCTTGTGTTTAGGTATAAAGTAGGTTTGATCATCATCAGTCAGAGTCAAATTAAAATCATATTCGGCAATGAAATATGGACATGTAGAGGACTGTGCCAAGAGAAGCAGTCGGTACAGTTGAAAGAACGCTTGAAGGTGCAGAGGGTTGAAGACTAGGGTTGGGCTCAGTGTTTGAGTGGAACAACGGTCCAACTTGAACATTGCTAGTTCGTGTGTTCGGCGAACATACGAACTATCAGGGCGTTCGGCGGGCTTTTCGCCCCGCTGAGCGCCCCACAAGGCACTGCGCACTGCACAGTGCCTTGTGAGAGCCCTGATTGGGTAAAGCAATGCACCTGACCACAGGTCAGGTGGAAAACGTTGCCCAATCACGGCACAGTGCACTGTAAGAGCCATGATTGGGCAAAGTAATGATGACTTTGCCCAATCATGGCTCATAGCCAAGTCTCAGCCCCACACTATATAAGGCTGCTTACACAGCAGCCTTATGTAGTGTGTTGCTGGAGATAAAGATAGATTGTAGTGTAGGGAAAGATAACGTGTCAGTGCTTTATACTGCATGTTAGTGCTATATACAGCACTCTATACTGTATATAGTATTATTGTCTGTGCTGTATATTCACTGTCTTTTTCTTGTTTTTGTCAGTGCCGTCACTGGTGTTCCTCCTTCTGTGTCACCAGTGTTCCCGTTTTTCTGATAGCAATAAAGTTAAAGTATAATTAAACCTTTTTTTCCCCGCATATATCTACTGCTAGCAAGCAGTAGATATATGCAAAAACATTAAAAATATTTAAAAAGTTACCAAACAGGTTATTACTTACCTGGTTTCCGCTGCTCGCTCCCGTCCGAAGATCTCAGAATTCTCAAACGGCTGTAAAGGATCATGGGGCGGGCGCATGCGCAGTGGAGATCTTCGGCCGGGACAAGAGGAGAGACACCGTAGGACACAGAAGACACAGCAGTCAGCGCTGGATCAGAGACCAGCACCAGCGCTGGATCAGAGACCAGCACCAGCGCTGGAGGGACTCCTGAAAACTACTGGAAAGGGGAAGATGATCTGATCAGGAGGAATCAATTAAGGTAAGTCTTTAAAGCAGCATTGGGGGGGAGGAAGGGGGTGTGGCATTAATGTCACTTTAAGTAAAAAAATAAAAAAAAATACAATATATATATATATATATATATATATATATC